CATTAAGCAAGAATACAGATGGAAAGATAGAGAATACCCTGACCATCTAGTTGTCTCATTTATTTATTCTCACTTTTTAGTATGGTCTCATATTTATTTTCTATTAGTTTCTTTTGAAATGTTAAAGTGCATGTGTAGCCATATTTAATTTTATCTTACTAGCTTTCATTACCAACTGTGAATATGAGAACATGGAAAGAAGCGAAAGAAAGGTAAAAGTACAACAAAAACCTTGCGTGCTTGTTCTTCCTTCAGCTTGGCAACATGAATTCGCTCAGTTGTCAATTCTATTTTCTTTCTAAGGTGTTCAAGTGCTGAAATAACATTCACACATTAGGACAGAAATTTTAAATTCACAATATAATAGTACTAAACTCAGCAACAAATAAAAATACGGAGTATTTGCCAAGACAAGGACCTGCTTTCTTGGGCCCTGCGGTGAGTTTCATCTCCATTGTAAGATTTGTCAATTCACGTTCAACATCACGAATCTTGGAATAATTTTCTTCGATATATCTGAAAAGGCAGACAATAGAAGATTAAAAAATTGAAACAGAAAACTGAATAGGTATTAACATATGGGCAAATAATATAACATTTAACTTGTCTCATATTCCGATTATAATAGAAGTGTCTAAATTATACATAAAATGATGTGTTTCCACGTAAAAGGGAAACATTGAGAACCTAAAACAAAATAAGGCAAGAATTGAAGATTTTTTAAAATCCTTTTCAATTCTGAGTTCCAGTAGCAAGCACCATGCAAATATCTGAAAGTTTCCACAAGGAAATAAAGAAAACAGAAGAAATACACCAAGGCTCGTAATTTGCTTCCTCCCCCCTTCCCACACTATTGAAATCCAAAAAATTTCACAAGCATAATATCATCAGGCACATAACTTTGAACATAGCGTTATGAGGCAGGTTGGCTTCATAGCCTTAGCTTTTATCCATTTTGATGGGTTTAGCCATTAACGCTTCGTCTCAGACATAAAATTTTTCATTTACTTTTCAACATGCTTTATCTAACAGTAACATTTGGGAGATACATGACTTGTTTCTGCATTCAGCACCTTTGCAGGCACTTAGTGGGAAGGGTCAACCTGATTCACTGATTAATGAATAGAATCCTATTCTATGTGCTGGATGAGTTAATCAAAGACAACTGAAGAGCTCACAGAGGGTTTGTAAGAAACTATTTAAGTATTGTATTTGCCAATTGAATGTAAGTTTGGAATTTAACATAAGTTAGTTTTGGAGATGTAATAAAAGAACTTCTAAAAGCTTCTTTTCTTCCAAATTCTGTGTTTTTTTCATTTGCAGTGCACGTCCCAGCATCGATAGGAAAGCCACGCATCTCCATTGAGCCAAAACCCCAGAAGGAACGCCCTATGGTGTTGTTTGGTCTGTCCAATGTCCCGTCAATTTTTCAAGCACTTATGAATGAATTCTTAAGATTCAGTTTTTTAAATGATAAATTGATTTATAGGACTTGCGTGAAACACTTGCAAAACATCCAGTTAGTGTATAAATTATTGTGCACTATTACCTTCATTATCGAAAAAGGAAATGTGCGTGTTTGGAGAAATACAGGTTGCATATCATGGTCATGTCATTTCGGGAGAAGGAAGCAACGAATGTTACTGAAGTACTGGCAATGCGAGAATGGTCAAAACCAAAAACCGTACGTTAAAGGTGATTTTGGAGCTCGCGACATTCTACCTATGTTTCATAAAAGAATAGATTGATGGCCTCCTCATTGACAAATCTTCTGAAAAAAGAGTCGTTTAGTTGAATGCATGACGCTATTAAGGCATTTGAAGCTGACGCAGTAGGGAACCCGAAAGACAAGCAAACGCGAGTCTTTGTCAATGGAGATCCGCAAGCGCGAAGCTCTAGAGTAATAAACTGGAAGCCCACCAGATTGTAAGAGAAAAATCTGAGTAAATAAAAAACGATTCTGTGCTCTCAGGATTACATATGGGTATTTATAGGGAAAACCTATAATACGAATAGGAATAAGAATATAGCAACAAGCATTCAAAAAAAAAAAAAAAGAATATAGCAACAAAAAGAAGAAAAAAATTACAAAAATTTTAAAATACTATTTTAGGCTCAGAAACGACTTTGCGGCAAGATCGTCTTCTAAGCGTGCGGACAACCTGCCTACATCAGAAGCACATAAAATGACCCTGTCCTTTGTTCCAGTACCGCAACTACCCAATTTTTTGGTCTTGAAAGTGGTGGAATGTGATGAATCAGGTTTAGAAATTGGATTCGTGCTACAACTTTACAGCCTTAAATACCTTCTGCGGCAGCGACTAACTACTTCCACAGTAACATTCGAGCTCTTGGGATTTTATTTTCGGGTGGAATTCAAGCCCAGGAAAAAAAATGAACGCAGCAGCAGGCACATTGTCTCGCTAAATGAAAATACATGCTACTCCATATAAGCCTAGCACTTTACTCTACAAAGTGGTCAGCAGCCCAGCAGTTCTGCAATTACACATAAGCCTAACAGAAACTCTTACATTACTAAATGCAAATACATGAAACTCCATTCATTCCATAGAGCTTTCGCACCGTAGTAGCCATCATAAAATGTCAGGAAATGAGCAATGAATAAGAAAGCGTTTGAATACAAGGGCGTTTTTAAAAAATGGCCTAAAAGCAAACAGTGTAAGATTGATAATGGAGTAAAATGGTGCCACAATGTCTTATCGTACATGGAAGTAGTTCATCTTTTAGGTGACAAAGTTAATGCAACTTCCCAAAATAGAAAATGCCACAAAGAATATAGGAGGAACTGAGGAAGGGAGTATAAAATTCAAGTATCTTGACAGTAAGTAATATATACATCATGTCCTTATCTCAAAAAAAAAAATCTTGTTCCCGCCAGCAGTCGATGTATGATACTGGCATGTGTGACTTACATTATGTGCAATGTATATGAGGTTAGGACAGAGAAAAAAATTTCCTACTAGCTCTACTTGTTTTTTAACAGCCCGTTACAAAATTCAGTTAATTTAGTTAATGAACTTACTTAAACATGGGTCTCCATTATTAAAAATGTCAAGCATTCACAAGCTAAAGAGTGAGTTAGATGACAAATCATATTTCATGTTCATCACATAGTGCTTTGAAGTGACTGGTAAAGATAGGCATCAGCCTTCCAAGCGCTAGTACAAACTTTTAAATGAAGCAACACCCATTCAAAATTTCTAATGGAAATATGCCCTGGATAGATACAGCTGATTTCACACAGATAACCCAAATCTATCTCATATGGAGTACAATTGATTTCACACAAATATCCCAAGGAGGACAACAACGAGCAACTCATGCAAAAACATTGAATCAACTTAATGCAATACAAGCAAATCAATAGAAGCAGAAAGACAATGAATGGATCTAAAAGAGCGGAAGATAAGTTAGGAAGTCGCACTTACTTCCTCAAATGAAGTTTCTCTTCCTCAATGAGCTGAAACAGGGAACTCGAATGTCATAATCGTGAATAATGCTCCCGCTGGTAATTCTAGGCGAGTAAATTCATACGCATATGCACACAGAGAGAATGAGAGAGAGAAGACCTTTTCGGTGTAGGCGATGACGGGGGATTCTCTGGCGATGCCATCGGGACCAATCTCCGGCAGCAGGAGAGGCTTGACCGTTGCACCGGAGTTGGGATCCGGATTCGTATTAGCAGCCATTACAGTACCTATTAGCTTAATTCCGGTGAGAAATCGTGATCAGGGAGTCGGCAATCGGCGACCCCGGGAGAAATGCGTGCCAAAACGTCGTTTACGATTGATTTCAGGCATCAAACGTCGCATTTTCTCTTTATTTTTTGCGTGATAATATTTTATAAACCTAAAGCTCTTGGATAAAACTTTAATGGTAAATATTAACTTTGAAAATGATAAAGCTAACGTCTGACAGAGTATTTTGTAATGCGATTGCTCCTACGAATTTATCACGATTGTCCCTACGAATGACAATTACAAGTTATTTTATTTATACACAGACAATAATCATTTATGTTTGCAGACGTTTATCGTTTGTTTATATATAAATTATCTATAATTGGCATTCGCGAGGGCACTTGGGATGAGTTTCTAGCATTTTTTATTTATTTAAGCGCTAATAATTTGACTACAATTTTGTATTTTTTAATCATATTTAAGCGCTATTAAAGCACACAAATTTAATCATATACTCTGAGGTACTTTTTAATTTTTTTATTATGCTTTATAGATCGTGTATAAAAATCAAGATTTATAGTATTCCTATACAAAATATAGAGTATTTTTAAACCATGGTTTTGCTTTCAATAGGATTGCTTAATGGTTTTTCAATCTTATTTCTACATTTTTTTTGACACTTTATAAGCATTTAGTATGCATTTTTAAATGATGTAAAATTTGGAAAACTAGAGGTATTCACATTTTTTTCCCAAGTTCTTTCTTCAAATTTTTAACTTTTAGTTATAGCCAGTAATGTTGATGGATATACAAATCTAAACATGATGCTTTGGTTGATCATACTACTCATATTGTTTCCAGAGTATATAGTTTTTTTTTCAAAATTTTTAATTTAGACTTCTATTAGTTCAATACTTTGTTGAGTTGTTCTATGAAGTTTCTTACCAATTATATTCCATACTGCATTTATATTTAATGTTATATTTAAATTTTTATTTAGACAATAGCATTTATTTTACAAATCTAGTTTCTTTTTAAATTAACATGTGCGTGTTTCATATTATTTTTCTCTTCTATATAAATTTCAACTTTTTTTTTTGAAGTCGTGTATCTAGTCAAGATGGACGATATTTTGAGGTTTTTCCCTAAAACCCAAACATGTGTATCTAGAATTCAACACCATCACACAAATCAGATTCTTTACACAAGGAAGAGCTTATGCCATTTCAATTACAAACAAGAAGAAGAAAAACCAAAAACAAACACTTTAAACCAGTAGAGAACTAAAAAAAAAAAAGAAAAAGAATTACTGTACTACAATGTATGTTGATGCATGCATGAAATTGATTGACTTCCAAATGGTACACACACTACTATACTTGCAAACAAGACCACAATTGTCTTCCATGCCCCCACAGACTATCAGGTATGGTTAACTAACCATGGTTAGTAACAGATGCCTCTGAGATAAAGCGCGAGATCGCGTCTTTAGTGGGTAGGGCAGGTATGGCTCCCCGTTGGGTTACCGTGAGTGCAGCACAGGCATTAGCAAAGAACAGTGCTTCTCTTAATCGCCTCTCGTCCTGCCCCAAAAACATATGGTGATTAATCAGATAGTGTGATAATGACAGACTAATTAATGCCTCTGCTTCCATTTGAGAGATTCCCACTCTTTACTTACCTGATAGAGGGTAATGTCAGAAGCTAAATTTGTGAGTAACCCTCCCACAAATGAATCTCCAGCCCCAGTTGTATCTACTGCTTTTACTTCAATACTATTCACTCTTCCCTTAAATTCCTGTGAAATCCCATAAAACGCAAAGATTAAGAATAACACAAATATAGGGAGACTGTTTCTGATAGACCCTTGATGCATTGCTGCATTTACTACCCTAAACTAAACTTCATTGAAAGTAAGAAGCTAAGAAAGTTTAATGTGCCATGTTTTGATTTAGTGCTGTTTAGACATCATGCCTTTGTGTAGTATCTGCAACCTGCAGACCCTTCTGTAACAATGAGGAGAAGGAGATTAGGATGAAAGAGCTTCTTCATCACCACATCATCATCATATGGATCGTCTCCTCCAGTGAGAAATGAAATTTCTTCCTCGCTTATCTAAATGAACATCGTCAAAAAGGGCAGTTAAGTAAAAAAGCCAACACACTAAAAATCATTTCTTTACACATTCATTATTATACCTTTATGATGTCTGCTTCATCCCATATACTCATAATCCCACTTCGGGCAGCTTCTTCTGAAGGCCACAGAGGCAGCCTTAAGTTGGGATCATAAGAGAGTAGAGAGCCGGATTTTTTGGCAGCAGCCATTGCAGCAAGGTGTGTTGATCTGCAGGGTTCGTCGATCAAACTGATGGAACCGTAGTGGAAAATGGCAGACTTCTTTATGAGATCAATGTCCAGTTCTGACTCATGAAGAAGCATATCTGCACTTGGATTTCGGAAGAAGAGAAATTCCCTTTCGCCCTCTGCAGTTAGAGTCACAAATGCAAGTGCAGTTCTTGCATTTTGGTCAAACCTCACGCCCGAGTTGTCAACTTTGTGCTGTTCCAGTATACCATCCAGCATTCGCCCAAACTCGTCGTCGCCCACCTAAACACACACATAAGTTCTTTATTGTTGTTCAAAGTCATTCTATATATTCATCTCTGTTAAATACAAACTAAGAAAACCAAATACTCCTTATATGTTAATCTAGAAAGAAAGAAAAAAATCAGTTTTATGTTTGGATCCCAGGAAATGCTATGGATATAATATATGAAATAAAATTTTGGTTTATCTAAGAACCAAAGATTAAAGCATTACTTTTCTTGGCATTTTCCCCATTCCCAACCATTTTGTGTTTCAACCATAGCCTTCTTATTTTGGAAAGTTAGCAAAATCAATAAACACAACATCATTTAAACACAAATAAGCAACCAGAGAATCTGAAATTTCAATGTGTTAAGTGGGATCCAATTTTTTGACCATAAAAAAGGGGAGAAAGAAACCTTGCCAATAAATGCAGAAGAACCACCCAACTTAGAAACACAAACAGCAACATTAGCAGGTGCACCACCAGGAGCTTTTTGGAAGGCCGGAGCTTCAGCAAGAGAAACTCCACCGACCGTTGGAACAAAGTCGATCAACATCTCCCCAAAACATACAACTAGATGCTGACTCTTGTCTGCAGCTTTTCCATTACTGGTTAAGGACAGGTTCTTGAAGTCTACAAACATCACCAACATTATTCTGATCAGCTAAGTAAACACTACATTAATACACATATGAAGGGTGAGTAGTATCCAATACTGGTATTCCACCAAAAATGTATACAGAAGCTTGCAGATGTTAAACCTACCATCTACCAACATTTCATTACCCCATGTACATAGATTTTAACAGAGGATCTTTCGAAATCCCATATTTGATACTCCGTATTTGCTAAGACATATTTCTTGAATCATCAATTTCTTGTGCCATAATCGAAAGACAAAGACAATAAGAATCAAGATTGAAAAACTTAAAGACACCCATCATTCCATCAAGGTATCTTTTTTTTTCTTCTTCTCTTTGATGAGAAATATAAACAATAATAATCAGAATTCTGAAACAGGCTCGCAATTCCAATAAAGACGCAAAATAAGCTGCACTAACAAGAACCCAGAAAGTTTCAATCTTCAACCACGATCCAAAAAGAGAAATGGATAAATAAGCTGAAAATTCAATAGACCCCCGGCAAATCTCAAGAAACAGGGAGTCAAAGCAAGAAACTTGGGGATTCATACCGAACCAAGACGGATATTAAGGATCGTTATATTAGTTCCTGCATGCAATGGAAAACGAATTAGATGACGTTGAAGTACCTGGAATGGACGATTCATCCGTCATGTTGCAATCCGAGAGGAGATTTCAGAACCAAGATCGACAAGAATCGAATGCCCAGAAACGCAGAGTCGCGGGGATGAAGGAAGGAGAGGAGAGGAAGAGAAGAATGCGGATTTGGAAAGATGGAATCTTGGAGTGTGTCCGAACACGGGGGTTGAAATTGAAATATCCCTCGCTCGCTTGCTCGCTCGCTCGCTCCCAGATTGATGAGCAGGCAAGCCGTCCTTGTAGTCACGTGGCGTGAGGTTCCAAATATGCCCCTCCCCCACTTGGCCTCTCTCTCCATCAAGAAAATGGTTAAAAGAGTACTGAATCTATAAGTCATTATTTGATGCGAGATGTCTAATTATTTTTTGTTTTGTACAAACAATTATTGTTATCATTTGATTTGACTTCCACACTTTTATGACCGTGTATATGAGTGGATTTTTTAGTATAAAAAGATTTAACCGACATCCAAAGTTCTCTTAGGTCCCGTTTAGTACACGAAATTCAAAGTATGGAATTGGAATTGAAGACTTCAATTCCAATTCTCGTGTTTGGTAGTACAAAAATTATGTGGATTTGAAATTGGTAGTGCAAAAAATGAATTGGAATTGGTGAATTCAATTCTATGGAATTGAATCCCATGAAATTTTAATTCCAATTCAATTCCAATTCCATCAATTCCGTGTACCAAACGGACCCTTAGAATCAATTTGAAGTTTTGAACAGTAATTTAGAGAAAAAAATTACGAGTATAATGTAAGACTTTTTAATAGAGAATATATTTGTCTTTACTTTTTAGTATGTTCAAAAACCTCATGTTATGTATAATCGTATTTAATTACCTCGTTTTCTAATCATCTATGAGTGGTGTTTTAATTTGTGTCTTCAAATATGGTATTATCACTCACTCGGCATAGCTTTTTTGGCCAAGTAGAAAATGAGTCTCTCGTGTTACATCTTTAATACTACGTACATGACTTTTCACATTGTCTATTAACATATGAAGGGTTTTTATCTTGGAACCTCTTAGGTTGTGTAACATGTATGCTTTCTTTTTGAGATACTTGTTTAGTGACAATGTATAGATATCTTATCCATTCGGTGTAGCTTCATTTTGATCATACGTGTCACATTGATCATCAGTATGTGTATGAACTTTAGTCTCGCTATAAGAGCGAATGTCTCGTCAAAATTAACCCATCAACCTTTGTGTATGCTTGTTCCACAAGTTTACCCTTATTTCTGATAACATTTTCATCTTTATCTGTTTTGTTTTTAACATCTACCTTGCCCAATGGCGTTAACATTGTCAGGGTCTAGAACAAGCTAAGCCTCTCAACATTGTTCCACTAAAATTATTCTAATTCTAAATGCATGACATTTGTTTATTAGGACTAATCTTTGAGATCTTCGATAAAAAAAATTGCTCGTCCCGATGAGCTTTAAAAAACTTTTTATTACACTTTTCAAGAAGATTGTTCTTTGAATATTAGATGGATAGTCCACTCCATCATGGGAACTCCCTTCTTTTGTTTCATCCAGATGCCATCAATTTGAAAATTTTAGTTGATAGTTTCTTCACCTCTAGTGCTTATATAGTCTATCAAGTATCATATCATCTACCACCATATTTGTATATTTCACGGTGGTTTAAGTTCTTTTATTATAGAATCTCTATGTTTAGTTTTTTTTGGTGAGTGCCCTATGCTTCACAACTCTGCATTAAATTTTTCTAGTTGCTCCCCATCATGCATGTCATGAAATTTAGCTCAAATTATGTGAAAGTGTGCAATGTTAGATGTGTGGTCCTTCAATAGCTCATTAAGACCATGAGGTATGCTTTCCCTCTTTTCTTTTTTTCAACTCAGTGTCACGTCAGTTTTACTTTATCTTGTCTTTCTCTTTCCCTTTTAGCAAAATGCCTTCCCTTTCCCTTTAAATTTTTACTATTAATTTTTAATACTTTTTTTAGATATAATTTTTTAATTTTGCTGCTATTTTATTGTAGGACACGAGAAAACATAATAGATAGATTATTAATAAATAAAAACTACGGAGTATGTGATAAACATGGTAATAATCAATATGATAAATGCAAGATTTGAAATGAAAGTGAAAGAATTATTTAAATTTGCACAACACAAATAGGGAGTACAATATACTCCGTAAATCATACTCGGTGCTCGGTAATAAAATATATTCCCTCCATTTTAATTTGGATTACAAATATGAAATTACGAGTCAAAAGTCTTTATTTTTTAGAATCATTTTATTTATAAATTATATATATCAAAAGGTATAAAATTATAAGAAAAATAAAAAATGATAAAAATATTTTATTTTACCAAATAATTAATAAAAATATATAAATAAACAAAAATTATTGAAAAATAAGAGAAAAAAATTATTATTCCGTTTACGTCTAGTGAGCCTTTAAGTTATGAAAATGGGCCTTGATTCCAAAAATGGGTCTTTTAAGTTTAGTGAGCTTTGGGCGGTGGCACCACTATATTTAGATTTGGGCTAGCTTTATTATTTTAACTACTCTTGGGAGTATTTATTTACGAGAATTTAGATTATTCGTCTTGGGCCAAAAACAATAGTTAGCCAAGTCCAGAGCAGGGAATGCCCCTTAAGGAATAGTTAGCCACGTCTTATATGGTCCAACTTATTGGACCCGTCCAAATGGACCTTGGGCAATAGTTAGCTTGCCCTGCAATTAATAGCCATTTTCTACGGAGCCTCTGTCTGAAAATATTTTTCACATTTGACTTCTTTTGGTCAAAGATTGTAAACTTTCAATACGATTTGTAGAAAAAACATATTGTACTATGACATAAATTTAATATCAATATATTCATAATGAAACATAATTTTCAAATATCAAATTTTTATAAAATATATTTATATATAAATATAGATATTAATGGTCAAAGTGTAACATTAGAGACCGTGAAAAGTCAAATGGGAAGAACATTTTTGGACGGAGGGAGTAATTGGTAATTATAAAGGTTGAAACATGTTTTACAAAGTATCTATCTACTACACCAGATTTAAGTCTTGTTCTATTCACCCGATTTGATTGGTTCTGATCTAATTGCAATAAGTTCTGATTTCATTTGATTTGAATATAGTTATACTTAATTTGTTTCTAATCTGATCTGATTCTAATAAGAAAAAATAATACTCCCCTCATCCTGTTAGAATCCTTCCACTTTAACTTAACATGGGTTTTAATGTAAAATGTTTAATGCTTTGACTTTCCAATTTTGCCCCTATCCCTCTTCCTATATTACTTATTCGTCCAAGGCCAATGAGTCTACCATCTCATCAGTTCTCTCCATTTTTTTCTTTTTATCTTCTTCTTCAACTTCAACCCGCCCCTGCCCTCTATTACAACAACGAAAAAATTGGAAATAAATCAAAACAAATATAAGACGAAGAAAAGGAACAAAATAAAACTAGATCTAAGATGAAAAATCGAAAATCAATCCTCTACAATCTTTGTCACCGTTTATTCCGTTCAATCGTTGTCGACCTCCTCATCAATTGCCGCTGTCCTACTTTTCGTCAAAATTGAACATGTGGGGGATAGATTCAAGAGGGAAGTGGAAAGATTCAGGAGGGACGACCCAAAATGGAAAATGTAAAGATTCAAAAAGGACCGGGGAGTAAGTAGTAAGAATAAGTTGAACAAAACATGACCTTGGTTACTCCCGGTGTTCCAGGATTATCACCATTGTTATTATTATGAAATCTTGATAACTTTTATTACTCCCTCCGTCCAGAAATATTCTTCTCATTTGACTTTTTACAGTCTCCAAAATTACATTTTGACAGCTAATATCTTTATTTATACATGGCTATATTTTATAAAAATTTGATATTTGAAAACTATATTTCAAAATGAATATATTCATATTAAAGATATATCTTAATAAAATGTATTTTTTCCACATATCATAGTCAAAGTTTACAAACTTTGACCAAGAAAAGTCAAATGGGAAGAATATTTCCAGACGGACGGAGCAGCTTGTATGTTCCCGTTGATCATTTGATAAAATAAAATATTTTTGTAAGCTTTTATTTTTTAGAATTTTGCATTTATTCTTTAAGTATGCAATTTGTACTTCTATATATACTCATTTGTAAGAAACATAAATGTAAAAAAACAAGATTTTACATATTATTGAAAGTGATATCATAATTTTGGGACGGAACCGGAGTACTTTATTTGGATTTTACACTACACAAATTAAATTTGTCTACAACGTACTATAAATAAACATGAAGTTTTATCGCAGTAGATGTAACCATTTGGTGTAGACTAAACATTTTTTGTGTTTGAAAAAAGTAAATTCCTACTAAGGCTCTGTTCCGTACGCCTGATCTGATTGAATCTGATTTGAATTTTTGAAGTTCTGATCTGATCTGATCTAATTGGTTCTGATCTGATCTGATTAGATCTGATCTAATATGATTAAATCTGATCTGATCTGCTGATCTGATCTGATTGGATCTGATCCTATCTGATTGGATCTGATCTGATCTGATTGGGTCTGATCTGATCTGATTGGGTCTGATCTGATCTGATTGGGTCTGATCAGATCTGATTGAATCTGATCTGATCTGATTGAATCTGATCTGATCTGATTAGATTTGGTGTAAATGAATTTAAATTGATTTAAATTAAACTTAAAGTTATTACAAAATCTAATATTTTTAAAGTACGTATTAGAATTCATATATACATAAAAAAAGTAAAATAAGAAAATCAGCTAATCATTAATATGTTTAAACTTTTTTAAAATATTAAAAATCTTTTCAATATCACAACATTTTTAATTTTTGTGAAAACTAAATAATCGGCATTAAAATAAACAAATATTAGAAAATATTGATGCTATTCTACAAAAATATCATATTCTATATACATATTACATAATAATATATTTCATGTTACAAATTAAAGATCATATAAAATTTTATAAACACCAATATCGCTTTCACCTCTATCAATTTAGTCATAAATTCACCCTTGTATATATTATACCATCTTAAAGTTTAAAAGTAAGTCTTTTTAAGTATAAAATATATATAGTTTTGAAAACTGAGTTTTGTATAATTATTTTATAA